TTGTAATCTGTATACATACATGTATATATATTTATATATATATGTATATATATATATATATATATATATGACCTTCTCTTATTTATTAACTTACAAACTGAGGTCGTTGTACATTTCCACTGGATCTCTATTTTTTTTGTTTTTCGTCAAATTCGTCAAGTGTAATGGACTCTGAATCGACTGTATTCCGAAGTGGCAATATCTGTACAGATTGGCTACGAAAAATTAAATATGCGCGGATCTTAAAAATATCTGAAATCGTATTGGCATGAGCCCTAATTTGTATATCGTGACAATGGTTTTAAGTGTAGTGCGGTTTTAGCTCAGTCATTCGACCATTGTTGACTGTGTTTGTATCACAAACATGTGTATGTGTATGTGTATGTGTATGTGTATGTGTATGTGTATGTGTATGTGTATGTGTATGTGTATGTGTATGTGTATGTGTATGTGTATGTGTATGTGTATGTGTATGTGTATGTGTATGTGTATGTGTATGTGTATGTGTATGTGTATGTGTATGTGTATGTGTATGTGTATGTGTATGTATATGTGTATGTAAATCCCACTGGTTCATGTGTGAGCACATACGTCTTCGGGTCGAACATGGTTGGCTAGCTGCACTTCCGATTCAACTGTGACATTTGGTTTGGCGACCCAAAAGCGTCCTCTGGCCTCAGCATACTCCTACACATCTCAGAAGCAGCAGATGACAGCCAATGAACCTCACACGCTATATTATAATAATAACCATCACACACCACACCATAACACATCACACAACTAACCGATGACAGACTGGATAGCTATTTCACAGTTGTGCAATGATGGATCGAGAAATCCCAGGTACGGTTAGCCTCCAATTTATACGTAAACATGCAATGCTCTCTAATGCAAGACACGTTAAAGTGCCCTCGACGCCACACACACATATATATATATATATACAGATGGCTCACTTATACACAGTTCTCTTGTCGTGTGCATGTCAACGTAAACGCATTTGCACATGTCCGCCAAATCACAGTGTGCACGAAACCAAATTGTCAGGGTTTTACAAATAAGAAACGCAAAGGATGTGAAATCAGTTGTAGTACAAGAACACGGTTGCACAGGGGCAGATGATGCATGTATGTGCATGGACGATACCCGTGGACTTGAGATAGCAGGCATAACCGACAATCCATTGATGTCCTAATACGTCTGGAGTCTGCTTTACACCCACATACATGCATACATACATGCACACATACATGCACACATACATGCACACATACATGCACACATACATGCAGAATCTTTCCTATTTTATGCTTAGTCGCTTGGGGAAACGACTCTTTGACTTCGGCAAGCGCGACTTTCCTTTGACTCGTCACCTCTCCTGATGCGCTACCAAACACACGGGACAGCCACACCTGCGGCAGCAAAAGACACGTGGGAAGGGAGTGACCATAGGGCCAGCCATGACCACAGGGGTAGGCACAACAAAGGAGTTAGCAATGATCGCTGGTGAATCCAAAACTCTAAAACCCTAAAACACACGGAACAGCCACACCTGCGGCATCACAAGACACGTGGGATGAGAGTGACCATAGGGCCGGCCATGACCACAGGGGTCGGCATGACAAAGGAGTTAGCAATGATCGCTTGGGAATGCGTAATAGTGACTAAGCTACTACTGCAATCGAGGGAAACTAATGGCTATGCTAATGATATACCACAAGACGGACAACCTATGTGCACGAGATGTGTGCCTACGACTATAAAGCTCACAAACAAAAACCCTAAACCCCACCAGACATACCCTGAGCAGTTCGGTGACTAGCTTATCGGCCTCTCTGTCTCTGGGAAATGGCACCTCCTGTCTGGGCAACACCTGGCCTGCACAGTACACAGGCGGCTGTGTGCATGCAACAACCACGAGTGCGCGGTTATATGAAATCCTATGGAAAATTGTCTACTGTCACTGCAAGACCTATAAAGGTCATAGTTTCTCAGTGAAAGCCTTGACGAGTCTTATCAGCTCAGCACAACTCCTGGCTCGTTAACATCAGCGCAAAGGTAAAAACTCTAAAACCCTAACCCTAAAACCCTTACCAGCTCTCGCAGCCAGAACTTATCTTTGCACCGCACCACCAGGAAGTCCGAGTACTCTGAGTGCCTCTGCGCATGGGCAAAGAGGGGCACCCTGGACAGCCGACTCTGTAGTATCTGCATGGATTGGCCGGGGTGTAATTCCCCGAGCAACCACTGTATTATCACAGCGAGTGATTGCGAGTTTTTAGGATACACTTGTAAGATATCTGAAAGTAACTTAACGTTAACTGATGTATACACTTGTAAGATATCTGAAAGTAAGTTAACGTTAACTGATGTATGCACTTGTAGTTATCTGAAAGTAAGTTAACGTTAACTGATGTGCGTCAAGGTCATACTCTCCGCCTGTACCGCACAGCACAAACAGAAACAAAAGAAACAGTGCAGCACGCTGTGATGAGACATCCTCGCTACACAAGTCTCATCCAAGAACGCTATCACAGTTCATGCTTCAGATATGAGAGTGAGTGCTATCACATTGCATGCTCCAGATATGAGAGTAGAACGTAGGCACAATCATACAATTAAGTGATCGTCTTCCTTCAGTGTGACGTCTGTGCCATGGTTGTACATCGCAGTCTCCTCTGTGGTCGTACTGCCCTCTCTTCGCATCTATTGAAAGAAACCACATGTTATTTACATCAATATATATATTAATACATTGATATATATACATTATAAAATATCATACTACAATGAAATAGTGCTGTTTTTACATATACAATATAGTGTGTCTTTACATTGTTATATATAATATAGTGTGTCTTTACAGTGATATATATAATATAAGTGTGTCGTATCGCATCACAAGACAATAGCTGAGTGAAAGATATCATTTGGCTCGCATTCCAAATTATGAACTGAAGCCATACAGAGTCATTCATCCATTCTTCAAAGAATCGAAGTCAGCTCGACATATGCGAGCGATCACATGATACACACACTCATCTGACACTGTTGCGTTAATGGAGACATCGACAGAAGTATACATATCTTAAACCCTAAAACAAATACCTTAAACACTAAAGCAAATACCTTATGGTAGTTCACAATCTGGCTGGTCATCCCCACTTTGGAGAGTATCGGCGGTTCTTCTTCAGAATACTCGATTAGGATTAGGTCTCCATCCTGCCGCAAAGGACAATCGGTGTCGACAGAGAGTTGTACAGTGAAGGGTTGAGATGGAAAAGCCACGCTAAACAAAACAC